AGTTTCTTTGTTGATTCTTTCAGATTTTCTAAGTAAACCATCATGTCATCTGAAAATAGGGATGATTTTTTCTCTCCTCTTTTCCTAGGTGTGGTGCCTTCAATTTCTTTCTTATTGCTAGCATATCTAGAACTATATCAAATAATAGCAAGGAAGGGGAACAGCCTTGCTTTATTCCTGCATTTATTGGGAAAGCTCCTAATATTTCCCCATTGCATATAATGCTTGTTTTTGGTTTTGGATAGATATTTTTTGTCACACAGTAAAATAAAGATCTCTCTATCCAGGGGTTAACTTTCTTTTTTTTAAATCATGGATCCCTTTGGCAGTTTGGTGAAACACACAGATCCCTTCTCAGAATAATTTTTGTAAATGCATAAAATAAAATACATGGAAACCAAAAGATTAAAAAGGAAACCAATTATATCCAAATATAGTTATCAAATTATTTTTTTTAAAGTTCATGGAACTATAAAGTTAGAAACCCCTTCTCCATACCTACACTTTGTAGGATTTTTAGCATAATTGAGCATTATACTTAACATTCTCTTCTTTAGAAAATTTATTTATTTTTTTTTTGGTGAGGCAATTGGGATTAAGTGACTTGCCCAGAGTCACACAGCTAGTGAATGTTATGGTCTGAAGCCAGATTTGAACTCAGGCCCTCCTGACTCCATGAGTGATACTCTATTCACTGCACCACCTAGCTGCCCCAGCATTATACTTTGTCAACAGAATTATCTGTAATAATTAATAGTTGAGAGTAGTCATAGTGATACTAAAAATTGAAAGAAAGAAAATGGCATCAACGAATCATTAAAAAAATAAACAGAGGAGAACAGTGGACATTTCAGAAGGAGACAAACAAGTAGGGCAAAAAATAAAAAAAATTTTTAAAAAGGGGCAGCTAGGTGGTGCAGTAGATAGAACTCTGGCCTTGGAGGAGGACCTGAGTTCAAATCTGGCGTCGGACACTTGACACTTACTAGCTGTGTGACCTTGGGCAAATCACTTAACCCTGATTGCCTCACCTAAAAGGCAAAAAAAAAAAAAATAAAAAACAAAACCCTAGTGGAATGTAGTGGAAATTCATTTTCCCTATACAGTTCTTATTTTTCCCTATTTTTCTCTGTATATGAAAATGTTTGTGTTTGTTGCTAACTGCCAAGTTCATAATAAAAAGGAAAATTTTTAAAAAGAAAAAAAGCTGCATCTAACTTAAGAAACTCAACACACTTCCTGAACCAACTTTCTTTAGTTATTATATATATATAGTGATAAATAATATATGGTTATATATTATTTAGTTATTTTATATATATCTTCTTTGTTATTTCTTTTTCAGACTCCTTCCTCTAGGGAAGCAAATACAGGCAGAGATCTGAAGTTCTGAAAGGTAGGCAGACCCTGGCATGTGTTTCAGACCACAGTCATGTCATGTGAGTTGGAAGGGTCTTCTAGTGGCCATCTATTCCATCCCACACCTGAATATGAGTTCTTTTTATGTTATATTCCACAAGCAGTCATCCATGCTCTTTCAGCCTGGCCATCTGACCTGCTGTGGTTACTGAATCCTCCTCAAATTCCAGAAACCAAAGGGTTGGAGGAGCTTGGAAACTTTCACCTAAATCTAGCCTGCCCAACCCTATTAAGTTCTTTCACAAAGGACATTTTTCTGGCCTGAATTGGATTTAAGTGAGGGAGGGCTGTGCAAAGTCTCCAGCCTCACTCTCTCCTCCATAGTCATCTGGGTCCATTGGGAAGATATAGATCAGGACAACTGAAGATGGCCTTGGATGCAGTGGGAGACCTTGGCCTTTTTAACTTAAGGTCTTTCCCAGGTCTCAGTAAAAGGATAGGGCTCAGCTCACACATGGCAATGAATAACTGGTAGCTGAGTACTGTGGCAGAGGCTTTTGGGGACAATTTAAATTCAACTCAATAAATGAATAAATATATATTAAGTTCCTGCTAAATGCCATGGGAGACACAGAGATAAATAAAACTCAACTCACATTCATAGGTTCACAAAGCACTTTCTTTCTAGCAACTCTAAAAGAGGTAAAGTGCCTCCCTCATGGTTAAGTGGGAGAGCTGTGGCCTTTCCCAGGACTCTAGGCCCTTTCTGTTCTGTCTTGTGATCTCTGGATGGGTCCTCCCAACCCATAAGGAATTTACAAGGTAGTAGAGGAGATAAGAATGGCATGCAAACAACCATTATGTAAAAGAAACCATGATAAGTGCCTAAGAGAGGTGCAAAGTACTAAGCATGAGGTTTATATACCTGGCAACTGTTTAAGAAATCATTTCTAGGAGTCTGTTTCTGAAGTGAATTGTAATGATGAAGGTCTCCCATTAAAAATGGAATGGGTCCTTAAAAAATGGGATGGACGGGGACAGTGAGGTGGCACAGTGAATAGAGCTCTGGCCTTGGAGTCAGGAGGACCTGAATAATTCAAATCCAGCCTTAGACACTTAACACTTACTAGTTGTGTGACCCTGGGCAAGTCACTTAACCCCAATTGGCCTCACAAAAAAAAAAGGGATGGACTTTCTACTTTCTGTGATTATCTACAAATAGGAGATCTGACCAAATGTCCCCATTAAGATCTTTTTAAGTTCCAGGATTCCAACTTAAGAGTTGGTAAGCAACGAGAAAGACAAAGCCTAGTCAGTTACTAGTTCCTTGAAGGAAGGAGCTTTCCCTATTTGTCTTGGTATCCCCATCATCTCTCATGTTGCCTTGCACATAGTAGACACCTACTGTTTGTTGCACTGCAGTGAAATTCATCTGAGTGTCAGTTCTACCATGTATCAATTAGAAATATCACACTGTGTTGTTGTGAGGATGAAATGAGAAAACCAAAGTGAAAGTTTTTAAGCTGTAAAATGCTGTACAAACACATAACTATTATGTAATATAAACTAAACTACTTTTGTTATTGCCAGTGACTAGATATATTTTGTTTCCCACATAATCCTGCCCAGTTGTTTTTACTGCAAAGCAGTATCTTGCAGAAACCACTAGAGGGCAATACAACAAGATGTAAAAATGATGGCAAAAGTTCTCTAGTTTTCATTTAAAAGGTACTGTCAAAGCTCAATTCTTTGCAGCATTGAAAAAGAGAGACTCGGTTGATTCTGGTGTAGTCCTTTCCCAGAGGTCTCTCTAGATTTTCCCAGAATGAGATGACAGTAAGAAAGTTATGTGAAAGAGATCCTTGAACCAACTTAATAGAAACATGAGACTACTGCATTGAAGGAAAACTCCTTAGAAAACCTTAGAGAAGCAAAGATAAAAATGACTCCAAGGGCAGAGAAATTAGAAAAAAAAAGGCATCCTGTCATACTCATTCTGCTTTTACATTTCAACAAATGCAATTTCCCTCCTCTGGAAGTGCCTCCCTCTTCTGTGAGAACAGAGACAGTTTTTTGCCTTTCTTTGCATCCTCAGAGCTCAGCACAGTGTCTGGCACATGGTAAATCTTGTTGACTTCCTCTCCACTTATCCAAATGCTACTCCTCCTTAAGGGTTCAATTAAAGACATAAAGAGGGCAGTCTTTTGATTGCCCTAGCCACAATGTTCTCTTCCTCATCTGATGTTCTACAACATTTATTATCTTTATATATATACACGTACATACATATGTATGTGTGCATTTATGTAGTATACACACACATTTTAAGAGGTAGCCTAATTTAGTGAAAAGAACCATAGACTTCAAGTAAGGGCATCTAGGTTCAGATCTCAGTTCTTATACTTACAAGCTGGGTAACCTTGGGCAAGTTCAAAGGATCATAGCTTTGGAATACAGAGGCTACTGAATTCAGGCTTTTCATTTTACAGATGAGGAAACCAAGGCACAGAGAAGTTAAGTGACCTGGCCAGGACCACAGAGAAAGTAGGTTTCTAAGGCAGGATCTGAAACCGCCTTCCAAGGTCACAGCCTTATCCACTATACCATGTGGGCCTCTTTACCTATAAAATGGGGACATTTACTTGTTTTAGCTGCCTCAAACGGTGCTATAAGGAAACTGCTTCATAAATTCCTCATTACATCCTCTATACTTTCACTTAAACCATTCCCCCATGCTTTAAATTTACTCATTCTTCACCTCTGCCTTTCAGAATCTTTATCTTCCTTCAAGATTCAACTCAGATGCTGTGTCCTGAGATGTCTTTCCTGAGTCCTCCCTTCTCCCCTACCCCAATTTTTAGTGCTTCCCTTCTCAAATATTCCCAGCATTCTTCAATCATTCCTTTGCCCCCTTACTCCCTACCCTATATTATACTTAGTGGTGCTCGAGTTGAATGATCCCACTAGAATGCCTAACATAGTTCTTTGTTACAGGAGGATTTAGGGAAAAAGCATTTATTAAAGTACCTACTATGTGTTAGGCACTGTATTAAGCATTTACAAATATTATTTCATTTGATCCTTCATAAAAATTTTATAGTTGAAGAAAATGAAGCAGAGAGTAAGTGACTTGCCCAAGGTCACACAGCTATTAAATATCTGAGGTAGGATTTGAACTTAGGTCTTCCTGACTCCAGGCCCAGTACTCTATCCACTAAGCCACCCAGCTGAAAGTAGCTAGATGGCTCCAAATATTCAACAAATATTTAAGTGAAGTAAGCCTTTTAAAAGCACCATATAAATAATAATAAAAGAATAAAAAATAAAAGACTTTATTATTTTGATATTTGACAACTTACTGCTTTGTATTTTTCTCCATTCATTTCAAGTATGTGGAAAAAACACTGGCTCTGAGGACCTGGGTTTAAATCCCACCCCTGTTGATTACTCCTATGTGACCTTGGCCAAGTCACTGAAACTTCTACAGCCTAAGTTACCTCATCTGTAAAATGAGGAGGTTGGACGAGGTGCCTTGGAATTAAGCTAGACGGCCTTCAAGCATGAACCTTGAAGCTTGAGCTGGGTCAATCCGAGGTCTCTTCCCTGGTCTCTACCAGTCCCCAGCTAATGGCCTCACGTACCTGCAATGAGATACTCCTTTTTTCCTCCAGTGTCCAGTGAGACTCCACAGACTGCTGAGGATGGAGCAGTATAAATGAACTCGATATCCTTGTCAGGTCCTTTAAACATCTGAAGGGAAAAAAAAAATGAAAAAAAAAGTGAAGCTTTGAAAGGGATTGTCCAGTCCTCCTTTTTTTTTCTTTTTTTTTTTTTAAGGCAGTTGGGGTTAAGTGATTTGCCCAGGGTCACACAGCTAGTAAGTGTCAAGTGTTTGGTCTGAGACCAGATTTGAAGTCAGGTACTCCTGACTTCAGGGCCGGTGCTCTACCCATTGCGCCACCTAGCAGCCCTTCCATTCTTCCTTTTAAAGAAACTCACCCATCATGCGGTAGCCCAATACTCTCCAATTTGCCTTTTCATCACAATTGGTATTTTACTTTAAGAAAATTATATTTAAAAGAAATACAACTTATAAAATAGCGCTACAAAATTAAGGGGTAGGGGCAGCTAGGTGGCACAGTGGATAGAGCACTGGCCCTGAAATCAGGATGATCTGAGTTCAAATCCGGCCTCAGACCAAACACTTGACACTTACTAGCTGTGTGACCCTGGGCAAGTTACTGAACCCCAATTGCCTAAAAATTAAAAACAAAAAACCAAAAATAAAACCAAAGGGGTGAACATTACTAAGAGACACAATGGATTTACTCACAGGTTTTGAGTTTTTTTCTAGTAGGTTTGAAGTATACACTTACGGAATATTAATTAGTCATATTAATTACATTTGGACTATTATTGAGGAACTTAACAAGGGGTAGGACAGATAAACCTAAAAAAACAGAATGTATAGATGATTGAATAAGGTTAGGAAAAAAATCTCTGAAATGATCCTTTAACCAATGGGAAAATAATAATAGCTTTAAGGTTTGCAAAGAACTTTACATTATGTATCTCATTTGATCCTTACAAGAACCATGTGAGTTAGGTGGTATTATTATTCCCATTTTCAAGATGAGGAAACAGATTAAGAGAAGTCAAAGAAATTTACATGACAATTTTATTGTATATTTGAAAGGAATAGCAAGTTATGCATAGTAGATTTGCAGTTTCATTGCAATCATCTTTTTTATTGTACCATGTTATGGAAATGCTTGTTTTATTCCATAAATATGTATTAATGTAATACAAACATGAAAGGGATAAATAAAATATAGAGAATTTTTTTTAAAGAGAGAAGTCAAAGATGAGGAAACTGAGATTAACTCTGCTTAGGGTCACAAAGCTAGTAAGTAATCCTGTCTGAGGCAGGATTAAAACTCAGGTGTTGTGTCTGACTCCAAATCCATACAGCTGCTTCAAATAGGATTTGATGTATATAACTTTAAAGCAGAAGAATAGCTAGGAATTGGGAAAGGGCGAGGAGCCTTACCTGAGGGATGTGGCCACCGGGGGAGGAAGCATATATGACAAGGTTCTTATGTTACTTCAGGACTGGGTGGCTAATTCCCAGAAGGTAGGGGGAGGGAGAGAGAAGGGCTAAGAAGAAGCTGGGGATATGGTTGCTGGTGGGGAAGAAGTACACTCAGGGACAATGTCCTCAGTCTCCTCAGAATTTAGGTGCCATCTATGCTCACCCTGCTCCAGTTACAGCTTTGATTTATGCCATGTTTCAGGGATACAGCTATGGTATAAAGTGAGGCAAACCTGTACAAAGTGAACAGATCCTTCTTTTGAATTCATAGTTACAGGTCCTGCAGCAAAAACATCCATGTTGCCCAACACTAAGACATAACAAAAGGAAGGGATGTAAATTCTGTTCAAGTAGTCCCATGGCACAAAGATACTGAAGTGGGCAGAAAGGCAAAAGGAAGCAGAGAGACTGTCCTGGAGCTGCCCAAGAGATGAACTCTATGTGGAGTATCTAAAACCTTCATGTGAAGGGTACAGCCATATCGTACAGTTGCAGAACTGGAGCCATTGTTGGGGTACGTGTCATGAAACCTTTATGAGCTAAAAATGCTATGATTTCTTTCTTATACTGTCAGACAGGCAACTAGGTACAGCAGTGGATGAGAGCTGGGCCTAGAGTCAGCAAGACCTGAGTTCAAATTTGGCCTTAAACAGTGGCTGTGTGACCCTGGGCAAGTCATTTCACCTCTATTTGCCTCAGTCTCCTCATCTGTACTATGGGGATTATAGCATCATCCCAGGTTGTCATGAGGATCAAATGAGATAATAATTGTCAAGCACTTAGCACAGTGCCTAGGCATTATATAAATGTAGCTATTAAAAAAAATTTTTTTAATGTAGCTATTATTATTTATTATCTTTATTGTTGTTCAGTCCTTTTTAGTAGTGTCTGATTCTTTGTGACCCCATATGGGGTTGTCTTGGCAAAGATACTGGCATGTTTTGCCATTTCCTGCTCCAGCTCATCTTACAGATAAAGAACTGAGGCAAATAGGGTTAAGTGACTTGTCCAAGGTCACACAGCTAGTAAGTGTCTGAGGCTGGATTTGAACTCAGGAAGATGAGTCCACTGTGCCACAAAGTTCTAACCATGTCAGCACTAATTCTAAATTGACAATAGATAACATTAGATAAGCAGAATTACAATATCTCAGAGGCCACTCAGTTTAACTCATACCTGAACAAAAATCTCTTCGATAACATACCTGAAAAGTATCCAGTCTTTGCTTGAAGGCCTCCAGTGAGGGGAGAGTCTACCACCTCCCAAGGAAGCACATAGCACTTTTTTTTTTTTAGGCAATGGAGGTTAAGTAACTTTCCCACACTTACTAGCTAGTAAGTATCTGAGGTCAGCTTTGAACTCAGGTCCTCCTGACTCCAGGGCTAGTAGTGCTCTATCTCGCTGCACATAGCACTTTTGACAGCTCAGTGTTGCAGGGGATAGAATGTTGGACTTAGAGCCAGGAAGAGCTAAGTGCCTTTACCCTCTTACTAGCTTGTATGGCCCCAGGTAAAGTAGTCAACCTAAACCTCTCCTAGCCTCAGTTTCCTCATCTTTAAAATGGGGATAATAATAGAACCTATCTCACAAGGTTGTTGTGAGAATCAAATGAGATAACATATATAAAGAGCTCTGCAAACCTTAAAGTGCTATATGAATACTAGCTATTAGCTATTTTATACTCAATTGTTAAGAGATTTTTCCTGAAATCAAACCTAAATCTGCTTGTTTGCAGTTTCACTCCTAGTTCTACCCTCTGAGGCCAAGCAGAGGAAATCTATACAGCAAATCTTTAACATATAATGCTAATATCATGTTGTTGATAACAACAATATATTTACATAATGTCTCCCAAAAGCCAACAGTGCTTCCCAAACATTATTACTTTCATTCACATAATTCCTCAGTGAGGTAAAAAAGAAAAGAGATTCTCCTTCCTACTTTATGAGTGAAGGAACTAAGGTAGGAACAAACCTTATTGTTTTATGGTTATATAAGCTTGTGGTAAGATTACACTTTTAATTTATTATTGTGATTATCAATTTCTCTTCCATTATCTGTAGACTCTTAATATCATATCCCCATCTCCCCTCCTTTTTACTTATTTATTTATCTGTTTATTTATTTACTTGGAGGCAATCTGGGTTAAGTGACTGGCCCAGGGTCACACAACTAGTAAGTGCCTGAGGCCAAATTTCAACTCAGGTCCTCTTTACTCCAGAGCTGGTGCTCTATCCACTGAATCACCTAGCTGCCACTCCTTTTTTTTTTTTTAAACAAATACAATCTCACAACCATCTTATCATAGTCTTGTCTTCTCACCAACAGCACCAGTCCTTTAATTGTCAGCTAGGCATTGCAACCACTTCAAACTAAATATGTCCAAAATGGAAGTCATCTTCCTTCCCCACCTCCACAAAAAAACTCTCCCAATTTTCCTGTCTTTGTTAACACCATCATCTTTCTGTTATCCAGTCTGAAAACCTCATTGTCATCTTTGACTGCTCACACTTCTTTATTCTCCATATCTTGTCACTTCCCAGGTCCTGTCAATTTTTACTTCAAAATGTTTCTCATATTCATCTCTTCATCTTCATTATCAGCTCAGACTGCTGGGTGGTGCAGTGGATAGAAAGCTGGGCCTGGAGTCAGGAAGACCTAAGTTCAAATCTTGCCTCAGACACTCACTAGCTGCGTGATTCTGGGCAAGTCACTTAACTTCTGTCAGTCTCAGTTTTCTCAAATGTCATATGGGGATAATAATAACACCTGCCTCACAGCACTGAGGATCAAATGAGATAATAGTAAACTACTCATCACTGTGCCTGATACACAGTAGGCATTACATAAATGCTAGCACCAGGGGCAGCTAGGTGGAGCAGTGGATAGAGCACTGGCCCTGGAGTCAGGAGGACCTGAGTTCAAATCCGGACTCAGACATATAATACTCACTAGCTGTGTGACTCTGGACAAGTCACTTAACCCCAATTGCCTCACCAAAAATAACTAACTAAATAAATGAATGCTAGAACCATCATCACCCCAATCTAGTCTCATATCACATTATTTCTGGATTATTTCAATAGCCTCCTAGGTGGCTTCTCTGATTCTAGGCTATTCCTTCACAAAACCATCCTGCATAGCCCTACCAGTCTAATTAATATTTCTTTAATACTACTGACAATATCATGTCACTCCCTTGCTTCAAAACTGTCAATGACTCCCTATTTTCTTACCAGATCAAGTTCCAGCTCATCTGATTAGCTTTCAAACACCTCCATCATCTAGCCCAACAACTTTTATTATCCAGCCTTATTTCCGTCTATTTCCCTCAAAACACCTTTTTTTTTTTTGACTAGGCAATGGGGTTAAGTGACTTGCCCAGGGTCACACAGCTAGTAAGTGTCAAGTGTTTGGTCTAAGGCCGGATTTGAACTCAGGTACTCCTGACTTCAGGGCTGGTACTCTATCCACTGAGCCAACTAGCTGCCCCTCAAAACACTTTCTGCTCTAGTTAGGTCAGCCTCTTGCTTGTTCTTACCCCCTTATCTTCCCCACGACATTATCCCCACATGGAACATCTGTCCTCCTACCCCCCTAGTACTCCTGTGGGTTTCAACGTAGATCTGAGTTCTTCCACAGAGCTTTCCTCAGCTGAATACTCCAACCTTCAATGACAATAATCAGTTCATTGAGCATTGTCTACTTGGTGCCAGGAATGGGCAAAAAACAAGGCCAGTCCTTGCCTTGCCCTGCTAAGGAGTAGGGGTGGGGAGATAGCATGCAGTCAGAAAGTTAATGCAAAATAGATACAAAGTCATTTCAGGGGTGGGGAAACACTAACTCCTGGGGAAAGAGGCAGATGGCCTGCCACCTGAGGGTTTAAAGGGACCTCAGGATTCCAAGAGGCAGAGGGGAGGGAGTGTACTGCAGGTATGAGCATTACACACCCACTTAAAGGCATGGAGGGGGAACAGTGTGATTTGTCAGGATCACAGAGTAAGCAAGAGGAGTTAAAAAAAGCTTATCACCCTCAGATTCAGTGGACTGCTGTAGGATTTCATGTGCAGGTATAGGCACATGAGAATCATGGAGTGTTATACCTGGAACAGAACCTGGAGATCATCTAGTCCAGGGGGTTACAAATTATAGCCATTGGCCAAATTTTCTATGCTGAGGCACCATGCAAGGTGCTAGAGACATAGTGACATAAATGAAATGTCTGTCCTCAAGCTCATGGTCTACAGGAGAAGTACAACAATGTACATGGATGAGAAACACAAAGTATGTACAAAAGAAATGTAAATTTATTATATTTATTAGGATCAATAGATTTAACATGTTATTATATGTTCTTTAATGGGATGGGAGGAGAGTCCTATTAGCTGGGAAATCAGGAAAGGCTTGCTGCAGCAGGAGCTGTCTGAGCTGACTTTTGAAGGGCATTCGGGATTCCAAAGAGGTGGGGAAGATGGTCCAGATGTGGGGCATGGGCATATCCTGTACCAAGGCGGAGAAATGGGAAATAGAATGCCATGCAAATAGCCAATGTGTTAGTTGACAGGAACACAGAGTAAGGAGGAATTATGTGAAACAACTCTAGAAGTAGAGGCCGGAGTCTGAACTGAGAAGTTATTTAAACGGCCAATAGAGGAATATGAATATTTTATTATAGAGGATATGTTGTTCAGTCATTTCCAGTTGTGTTTGACTCTTTGTGACCCATTTGGGGTTTTCTTGGGATGGACCCTGGAGTGGTTCGCCATTTCCTTTTCCAGTAGATTAAGGCAAACCATGGTGAAGTGACTTGCCCAGGGACAAACAGCTAGTGAGTATCTGAAGCTGGATTTGAACTCGGATCTCACTGATTCCAGGCCCAGCACTCTATCCACTCAGACACTTAGGTGCCTCCACGACACAGAGATGGCACTTAAATGATTGGCTGTACTCATCTGTAATAATGAAGATAATGATGACAGCTGACATTTATATAGCACTCTGACGCTTGCAAAGCACTATATGGACATTTTTGTCATTGGAACCCCACAGCCACACTGTAAGGTCATCATCTCCATTTACATATGAGGAAACTGAGGCTAACTGCCCAGGGTTTCTTAACTAGTAAGTGTGTGAGGCAGGATTTGAACTCAGGTGTTGCTGATGTCTGCTCTGGCTGTCATCCTTTCCCAGCTTCTTACTGAGAGACAGCTCTCTCCCACTTACCCCTTTTCTCTCCCACTTCCTTTAATCTTTCTAGCCAATAGTTTCTTCCCTCCTGAATTCAAATATGCCTGTTTCTCAACTCAGTTAAAAAACAAACACTATAGGGGGCAACTAGGTGGCACAGTGGATAGAGCACCGGCCCTGGATTCAGGAGGACCTGAGTTCAAATCCAGCCTCAAGACACATAACACTTACTAGCTGTGTGACCCTGGGCAAGTCACTTAACCCCATTGCCTAGCTAAAAACAAAACAAAACAAAAAAATTAACACTATAATTCAATCCTGCTAATAACCATCCGACCTACTATCCTATTTTCTCCTACTTATCAGAGCCAATCTCTTCCAACAAGGAGGTCTGTTCTTGTGCTCTCTCCATTTCTTTATCAGTCATCCCATAAAGCCCAGCATGGTTAATCCATGCCATAAAACTTCCCCTGATCACTCTGAACCCCAACAACTCTTTCTCTTCTTGAAACTGGTAATGCTCTTAGCAGCCGTGCCACCAACTTCAAGCAGCATTGATATAACCCTATGGTACTCTTTGCTTGTGCCATGCATGCATGCATGCACTGTCTTCTGGAGAAAGTAAGCACTCCAAATATAGGGAGAACAAGCTCTGTTATTCCATAATGCAGCAGAATAATGTGGAATTAGGGTTCCTATGGAACTAAGGTGCTAAACTCAGAGTCAAGAAAACCTGAATTTGAATCCAATCTCAATATTTATTAGTTTGTGTGACTGCGGACAAGTCATTTAACTTCCCTGAGTCTCAATTTCCTCATGTAGAAAATGAGAGTAATAATACCTGTAGCATTTACCCTCATGAGATTGTTGGGAGGCTTGAATGAGATGATGTGTGTAAAACACCTTGCAAACCTTAAAACATTATGTGCATGACAGCTTTCATTATTATTATAATGATATTGCCTAGAGCAACAGGTCCCGTGCTTGGTATACTTTAAGTACTAGATAACCTTCTCAACTTGGTGACTTAAAGCTAAAAGAAGACACAGGCTAACTGACAAGGATTCAAAAAGGAGAAGAAAAAGCATCTGTGAAAATGTGGCTCTTTCCGCCATCTTGCAGCGCTGTCACCATGGTGCATGAATGTCCTGGCAGATGCTCTCAAAAGCATCAATAATGTGGAAAAGCGAGGAAAACGCCAGGTTCTCATTAGGCCATGCTCTAAAGTAATTGTCTGGTTCTTGACTATGATGATGAAGCATGCTTACATTGGTGAATTTGAGATCATTGATGATCACAGAGCAGGAAAAATTGTTGTGAACCTCACGGGCAGATTAAACAAGTGTGGTGTAATCAGCCCCAGATTTGATGTTCAATTGAAAGTTCTGGAAAAGTGGCAAAATAATCTGCTACCACCCCATCAGTTTGGGTTCATTGTGCTTACAACCTCAGCTGGCATCATGGACCATGAGGAAGCAAGACGAAAACACACAGGAGGAAAAATCCTGGGATTCTTTTTCTAAGGGTGTAAAACATACATACAAATAAAAATGCTCCAATGGACAAAAAAAAATGTGCGTGTAAATCATGGAAGAATAACATTTGCTTTACTAAAACTCAAGTTTATATACAGCTTTTTGGGAATTCATCTACATGCAGTTGGGTGCTTCTATATTTTACATAACATACTTCCTCCACTAAATTCCTTCTCTGATTACTCATTGTGGAATGAGAGATTCATAAAGGGTTCGACTCTGGCTTCTTAAAGGCTATCTATCCCAGAAGAAACTGAGTTCTGTAGGTCTCGTGATATTTTTTTTGTTAAAGACAAACATAGCTCAGGGCAGAAAGATTCACCATGATGAAGATGACGATGATGATGATGAGGAGGAGGATCATGATCATAACAGCTGATATATGTACATATAATTTTCCCCCAATTACATGATAAAACAATTTTTAACACTTTTTAAAGTTTTGAGTTCCAAATTCTATCCCTGCCTTGCTCCTTCCCTTCCCCTCTTCTTTACATATATTACATAAATGAAGACCCACAGCCACCTATAAGGTTAAGAACCAGGTGTTAAATTTTGTCCATGCTAATTGTGAAAAGAGAAAAGAATGTGAGCTACATTGGTAGCATCTGGGTAACAACAACAACAACATTTCTGCAGCATTTTAATGTTTTAAAAATCTCCCAACTTCAAGTCCAGGGCTCTATCTTCTATGCATGAAAACACTGATCTTTCAAAATATCAAAATAACATATATTCTCTACAATCCAATTGTGTACTGGACTACCTGTGGAGGCTACAGTTTCATCACATGAGAAGTGTTCTGGGTTCATAAAAAGCTAAATACCACTATATTGAGCCTCCTTATTTCCTGAGAGACTTCTAATTTCCCATTTCACAACACCCAAGTGTACCTTTCTTTTAGCAGCTACCCTAGAAAAAAGACTAGAAGTACAGTCTGATGAAAGTGATACAATGTGAAGTCACTGGTTACCTTTATCTGTTTGATCTCATATTGAATCCTTTTGATGGGATTTCCATAAATATCATTTCCAGAGTCCACTTCTTTCCCACTGACAGCTTTGGCTCTGATCACTGCAAGAAACAGACAAAGAGATAGTGAGGAAATCTGAAACTATCAGCAGGGTGGATGGCTGAAAGAAGCAGCGCAAGCCTTATTCTGGTGCTCAAATAACTGATAGAGGGGGGAATGAGAAGAAGTGGATTTAGTTTTTTGCCCACCATCAGACACAAAAAATAGCATTAACGTCTCTTGATGTCAAACAACATCTATCTTTTTGTGGTGGAAGTTTGTATTTTATCTTAGAAATAACAGCAAAACACTGAAGTCTCTCGAGGAGAAGAGTGAGAAAAGGTTAGATCCATGCTTTCGGGAAAACTATGGTGGCAACTGTGTGGGGCAAAGGTGTCAACCAGGACATAACAAAGCCAGCCTGCTGCACTGAGGCCTGCAACACTCTTACTGCTGTTAGAACCAGGTTAAAAGGTAATTGAGTAATGTTTAACAAAATAAATAAAAATACAATAGAACATAGATAATGTTAGTATGTGGTTTTCTAAGTCAGCATGCAGCCAGCAGAGATCTTTATGTCTAGTTTGGTGACCCCATTTCTATTTGAGTTTCACACCACTGGTATAGAGTATAGATTGAAGAGACAGACTAGAATCTAGGAGTCCATTTAGGAAGCTGTTGTAAAGACATGGACAAGATATGTGATTCTGAACCAGACTGGTGGCTATGTGAGTGTAAAAAAGACATATGTGAGATTTCACAACTGACTGGCTACAGGTGGTGAGGAAAAGGGAATAGTCAAGGATTACCCTGAAGTTGGACTCTGCCTATCCAAAGGTTGGTGATACTCTCAAAAGCAATAAGTTTGAAGGAGAGGTAGGTTTAGGAGAAAATAATGGTAATGCTGTGTGCAAAATCTCAGCCATATCTGCAGTCCCTTATTACTAATATGTAAAATACCAACAATTTGTTGTTGTTTAGTCATTTAAGTCACATCTGACTCTTTGTGACCACATCTGGGATTTTCTTGGCAAAGGTACTGGAGTGGTTTGCCATTTCCTTCTCCAGCTCATTTTACAGATGAAGAAACTGAGTCAAACAGGGTTAAGTGACTTGCCTGGGGTCACACAGCTAGTAAGTATCTGAGGCTAGATTTGAACTCAGGAAGATGAGTCTTACTCCAGGCCTGGCAGTCTATTCACTGTGTAACCTAACTGCCCCTTAATAACAATAGGTGACATTTACATAGCATCTTACTATTTGTAAAATACTTTTCCAAACATGATCTCATTTAGTGGTAACAATATTGTGAGGTAGAGACTACAGGCATTATTATTCTCATATTCTGAGGCTGAGAAAGGTTGTGACTTTCCCTCTCCATCCATCTCATATACTACTTCCAGAATAATCTTTCATATTTTGCCTGGCAGTCAAGATCCTCTACAGTCTGATGCCATAAGATGTAAAAAAAAATGATATAAATCCTTCAAACTTTAAATCATGTTACTGCTCTCCATACATTTTATGCTCCAGCCAATCGAACTTCTATCCTTAAAACACAACACTGAATTCTTCCATATTATGCCTTTGTTCCTATGAATCACTAAACTGATCACAGTTCACAACTCTAAGTTGTTTTTCTTTGCTGTAGTCATTGTATACGTTTTCTGCTTCTTCTCATTTCACTGTCACTTGACAAGCATTTATTAAGCACCTATTATGTCAGCATGTTAAGTGTGGTGATACCAAAAAAAACCTGCCTCAATTCATATAAGTCTTCCCAAATTTCTCTCCCCATTATATTTTAATCTGGTTTGGGGGGTACTTGGGAGTGTTGTGGCCCACAATGTCCCCTGCCAGCAGAGTGTTTGACACCTATGTACTAGGGAAAACAAAGATACAATGAAAGACAGTCCCTTTCTTCAAGGAACTTACATTCTTCCTGGATGCTTAGTTGTCAGATCAGAGAGGATTACAGAAGAAACCCCAGGAAAAATGATTTCCCCACAGAGAAGTCTTACAAGAAAGGTGAGAGTAAGCAGAAATAACAACTCCTATGTGCCCAGCTTCCTTGAGTAAACTGCTGAATTGAACAGTGGAAAAATCTCCCCAAAATGTCCTATTCTTTGTTGATTTAACCTCTCTTTTCAAATAATACCTTTTATATTGCCTACATTTCACAATGTTATTCTTTCCCTTTATCAGAGAGCCACCCTTTGTAACAAAGAATAAAAATAGGGAAAAGGACATTTCAGCAATGCTAACCAACATAGGTAATGTAATTTTTAAAAGCCCAGAATACAAAGTATAATTATAAAGTGATAAGAACAATTGCACTAAGATACTTTCCAACTTGAGCATTCTATGAGTAACAGGCAACAAAAAGCATCCTCATTAAATTTGAAGTCACATGGTCTGCCACCCGATACCTGGTAGCCTACAATGAAACACAGGTCTTTCCCAATTCCAAATCTAACAGTCTTTGTACTATCCCACACAAATCCTCAAGCAGGATTTTGGATCAGGATTGGCGCAGGATTTAAGAATCAAAATACTAAGTCTAAGAATGTCAGAGACAACTTTATCATCATTAGTTCAGGAGGTTGAGAATTAGCAGTTAACATAAGTTAAAAAGGAAGAAATTGTGGCTTAATTTTAATTTCTGGAACTCCTCAAGTTTCTGGGGACCAACTCGCCTGCTCTAAGAACTCCTTCCTCACGTGCCCCTCCCCAGGTTGAACCCTGGGGAGACTAAGACTCATCAGCTATGAGTCTGAGTCCTGGCTCTGCCTCTAACAAATTGTATTGACCTTCAGCAAGTCCCTTCCCCATCCTGGGCCTTGATTTTCATCTCTGAGGAGTAGGACTAATTTTGAGGGTATTTCAAGTTCTAATAATCTGTTACTCTTCAGTTCTAGCCCTAGCCTGGGTGTGCCCCCACTAAACCAAAAGCTTTATGCCTTAAAAGCTAATACGGGAGTATTTCAGTTGGCTGCCTGTCAGCAGGACAGTTCTGGAGTCATCCAATAATGTTGTAGAGTCACCAAAACCCAGCAGGATTGGCCATCTACAAAAGTGAAGTTCATCTGTGGGCCCTTCTATATTTCTTTTACCATCTCTGCCCAATTAAATGCCTAATAAATCTGTATGCTGCATGGTAACTGCATAATGTGTCAGACTTTTGACATTTTATTTCATTTAAATACTAAATTGTCTAATTGGTCTTCGTGATGTGTTATTCACATGGCATGGTCATTGGTTCCTCTATCATTGCTTATCAGATAATAAACGTAGTATTACAACCATAATGCTGGTTGTGGAGTAACACCTCACCTACTGGGAACTCAGCTTTCTGACAATATCAGCTGATTCAGCATGAATCAGGAAGAAAGCAGAAAAACCTCTGGGTATCCAAAAGAGATGACACAACATCTATGTACTAAGAAAGCTCATTCACTTTGCTCAAGGGAGAGCCTGACTAGCCTTCGCTCAGTGCCTGTTTACTCCTACTTTACACGTATTTCAAATAAGTTTAGTTCTAAGGTTTACAAGCTGCTAGCATATTAAAAGTAGTAAATTTAAAAGGGGTGGGAAGGAAGAAGGGCTGCTATGGCAGCTGTGTTGATAATAGGAAGAAGTGACAGCCAGACAGCAAGGGAAAAGACAGGGAAAACTGTCAACCACAGACTTAAGAACTCAAAAAGCACAGTGGGAAAGGGCCATTCAGAGTAGGCACAAATGACTCTTTACACTTCAGTAGGCCATGGAGGCATAATCATATGCCAGCTAAGTACAAAAAGATGTTCATAATGAGATTCCTGAGTCACGACAAAAGTTTAAATTTTATTCAATACATTCTGTTTAAGAAGAAAAGGAAAGGTATCATATAGCAAGGTAGGCAGGACATGATATGTTTTGGAAGATTTTCTTTCCTACTTGTTAAAGAGATGAAAAAAAAAGTCTTGGTACTTAAAGAGGTAAACCTCTAGTCATTAGGAGAACTCATTCATTTCCTGAGGGTTCCATTTGGCTTAAGTTTTATTACACAAAATCAACTCTGAGCCAGAGTCCACAAGCATAAGGACAGGGAAAGTAAATTATTCCCTTTTACCTTTGGGCTGTATTACATTTTTGAGGTTACCATGATAGTTTATTAATAGACAATGGCAGGGCAATGTCCTGAATGAATGAAGCTTTCTTGTGTTGTTCCCAGGTTTTACACACAATGATGTTGAAGACACAGAGAAACAAACTGAAATTAGTCAATCTACTAATAAGTCCTGTGATAAATCAGGTCTGAAATGTAGTTAGAGCTGAGGGTAGCCAGGCACTCCCTCATTGCCTGGCCAGCCTTGGCCTAACAGGAATCTCTTGGTAGCTCATGGGCATTGCCTGGGCTTTGCTGGTAAACCTACAATTCGAATGTCTTCATACTTCCTGTTAATATTCTGGTTTTGTCTTTTAGAGTTAGAGGTCTCTTGCTCCAATCTGCAAAAAATAGGGTCAAAGGAGGAAAAGTCATAAACAGGAAAAACTATTATCCAAATTTTTGCCCAATAAGTGGATCATGGACACTGTTGGTACGTACTAGCCAGGGCTCAGAAAGGACTAGTGTTGAGCTCAAGCTGGTTGAACTGACCACTTGCAGAAGATGAATCTGGGTAGTGTTAGCTCAGGTAGTGTTTTTTAGTTTTGAAGGTATACTCACTGTGCCTTTTAATTAATTACCTGTTTTTATCCAGGATATCATATGAGCAGCTTTGGAGATAGGAAATCCTAGCTAAAACAGGGCTTTTAGTTCATGAGTGAGAATTGAAGAAAATAGTTAAAAGGACTACCCCAACCTGGTCATCACCCTTACCTATTGCCTATGCATGACCCTGTGCTGCACAGGTGCCAGCTCTGCATTAGGCTTTTTCTGATCACTATAACTATTAACACTTTATCCCCTTGAAATTATTTTTTATCTGTATATATGTTGTACCATCCAGTTGAATCCTCATCACTTTGCACAATGTGTGTATATGGTAGGTGCTTTATAAATGTTTGTTAAATCAATTTG